TAAGGACCGGCCTCACACCACTCCTGTTTGAACCCCCTGCCTGGTCCTCACCTCTGCACCTGAGTCTTCCTTGGGCTCAGATTCCTACAGGCCCTGCCAGGTCCAACTTAGGCCTCCCCCTGTCCTCTCTCTGACCCTCAGAACATTGCTCTGTATGAGTGGCTGCCCAGCTTCCTGCAGAAAACACCCCCGGAGTACACAGGTCAGGGGGTGGAGAGGGAGGATGGGAGGCTTGCAGGAGGGTTTGCAGGGGTAGGTAGCCTGGGTGGTTTGAAGGCTAAATTCTTCTATCCTGTCTGCTCCCCTTCTCCCAGGATACAAGCCATTTCTGGACCCCAGCATCTCCCCTGAGTTTGTGGTGGCCTCTGAGCAGTTCCTCTCCACCATGGTGCCCCCTGGCATTTACATGAGGTGAAGAAGGGGCTCAAATGCTTAAGCGTTGGTAGGGATGGGGGTATCAAAAGAGAAAAATTGGCCTTCGGGCCTGAATTATCAGTAAAGAGTATCCCTATTGCCCCAGGTAACTGTGAATAGAGAGGGGAAGGAAAACAATAATTGTTTCAAAATGTACATCACTGTGGTTTTAAAGCACCTTTATATCCATTCTAGTGCAGCTGTTGTCAGTATTATTCCCCAATTAAAGACTGAGTAGTTGAGGTCCAGAGGTATCACAAAGCTCATGGATACAAACCTCAGATCTTCACATGGGGGCATTTTTAGCCATAAACATGGGGCCTGAGGCTTACAAGCTTTGGGGAGTTTTTAAAATCTGAAGAAAAATAATGGGTCCAAAATAATTTTTTACAATTGCTTCGTAATTTAAAATAACTCAGGTTAGTTTTTCTTACTCTGGAACAATCTCTGGATATGGCAAAGAAATCACAGAGAAATGAGTTATCCATAGACAAGTATTTTCAAAAGAACAAATTTAAAAAGTCTTCCAAGGCTGGGTACAGTGGCTCACACCTGTGATCCTAGCACACTCTGGGAGGCCAAGGCAGGTGGATCACCCGTGCTCAGGAGTTGGAGACAAGTCTGAGCAGGAGCAAGACCTAGTCTCTAAAAAATAGCCAGATGTTGTGGCAGGTGCCTGTAGTCCCAGCTACAGGGCAGGCTGAAGGAAGAGAATCACTTGAGCCCAAGAGTTTGAGGTTGCTATGAGCTATGACACCATGGCACTCTACCAAAGGAGACAAATGAAACTCTGCCTCAAAAAAAAAAAAAAATCTTCAAAAAAAAATATATATAGCGAGAGAAAGTTATGGAAAGTCAGATTGTCCAGGATGTACCAAGGTCAGATGGCCTGGCCACACAGCATTACAGAGAGGTTATGGACTGGGACTCCTGGCTACAGCCTCAGAGACTATAGCTGATGCCAGATATTAGGACCCCATGGCCTCAGTGACCACTCCCTTGCTCCTTGCATTTCAGAAATTCCAGTTGCCACTTCCAGGGGGTCATCAATCAGAACTCAAGTGTCTCCAGAGCATTCCGGGTCTGCAATAACTACTGGAAACGAGAGGTCAGGACTAGGGGCACATATGTGAGTGGTGGGCAATAGGGCTGAGGCAGGCAGTTGGGATGAGCTAGGGTGAAGGGGGCAGGCTGGGGGATCTCAAGCATCTCCCTTACAAATGTGTGAGATGACCAACTAGCTGTACATGGTCAAAAGTCAATGTGCCACCCCTGCCTCCAGGCTATGGGAGAGACAGTGGGGTCTGTGCAGGTGTGGTTCTGTATTCATTACTCCCTCCTAGGTTTTTCCTCTCCCTTGACAGCTGTGGACTGTAGGCCTTGAAGTATCCCAGCTATCCCCCACCAAAGGAAACTTCCCAATTAGGCACACTCAAAGTGTAAATAAGTAATCAGGGCAAGGAGGTGAGAGGGATTCTGAGAGATTATCAGAACCAGGCCATCCTAACCAGGCCAGCATAGGTGAAGAGCATTGACCACTAATTTAAATCAAAACAGATACTTTGGGTAAAGTGTTAGCAAAGGGGAAGAAAGGGAGAAAGAGGAGAAAAGAGGAAGGCATAGAGTAAGAGTCAGGGAACAGAGTTAAAAGAAGCCTCAGAGTTCTTCTAGTCTGAGTCCCTTGTTGTTAAGGGGTGGAAACCAAGTTCAGAGAGGTGCTGTGACTTGCCCAAGGTCACATAGCTGATCTGTAACAGAGCAAGGACAAAGACCTAGATCTTCTAGTGCCTTTGTCAACCACACTGTCGAGCCTCCTAAGGTAGAAATAAAATTTTCAGGTCTCTTGAGCTTGTAGAGACTTGAAAGCCCTGCTTATCTCAGGCGGCATGGGCTTTAGATGGAGACTTCCTCACCCTCAGTGGGGAAATAACCTGCAGAAGAGGAATAACCCATTAGTTTGAGAGCAAATAGTAGGTATGAGTGGGCTCAGGGACATGGATGATGGGGTCAAGGGACTCTAGCTGCCCAACTTCTGGCACCATTAGCCACACTGCTTCCCTCTCTTCATCCCCAAAGCACCCAAACCTACGAAGTGCTAAAGATGTGGATGCATTGCTGCTGGGCATGGCCTCCCAGATTGCTGAGCGAGAGGACCATGTGGTGGTTGAAGACGTTCGAGGTGAGGCTGAGGCCATTCTTGCAGATCGTGGACTTCTGGCCCCTAGCAGGAGGTTCAGTGAGACTTCCAGAGCCAGGCATGAAGGGGTGCCCAGGCCTGGGAGACTGCACTGTACTTGTTGCTGAGAGAGCTTCTGACCCACTGACCATGGCTCCCTCTATCTGGCTCAAGTCCCCTAAGGCTGATTAGAGCCTGCGGCCTGGGCTGGAGACTGGTATGGTGACCCTCTGGTATCTCATCTCCAGATTTCTGGCCTGGGCCACTGAAGTTTTCCCGCACAGACCATCTGGCCGGCTGCCTGCAGCGGGGCCGGGATCTGGGCCTGCCCTCCTACACCAAGGCCAGAGAAGCACTGGGCCTGCCTCCCATTACCCGATGGCAGGACATCAACCCTGAACTCACCAGGAGTGATGGCACAGTAAGGACCTAAAAGCAGGGTGGGAGGACCAAGGCCCACAGTACAGAGACATGGAAGAGGAGCAATAAGACATGAGCACCAGATAGAAGAACCTAATGAGAGGGGCAGGGGTCATGTGGGCCACTTTTCCCAGATTAGACACCAGGATGGAGCTTACCAGACCAGCAGGATTTAGCTTCAGACTCTAATAATTCAGCTCCAGCAACCATTATTGGGCATCAGTTGCATGGCAGGCACTTACTGGGCATTATCTCATTACTCTTCCCAACACCCCAAGTAGGTACAGAAGGTCATCAACTTATGGACAAGTTGTACTTTTTAAAATGATATTTAAGCTGCCTTTCAGGAGTCAGCTGTTATACACTGAGCTGTCACCTGGCTAGTGGCATTGCCTGGTAGCCAACAGACCAGTTTTGGCTGCCTTACCATCTTGGCAAAGCAGTGTTTCCAGTATTTCTACAATTGTGTGCCTATATTATTGCATTGTGCCTTTACTGTTTTCTAGAATTATTGAAAGGCCAATAAAGAAGTGACATATGTAAGGGATTTGTAAACTTTATAACATCAATATAAAGATAGGAATCACAACGCATATCAAAAGTAGCAAATCTTTAGCATCAGTAGAATTCAGCTGGTCAAAGACTTACTTACATTGTGGAGAAAAGAACTAAAGTAAAAATCATATAGAAAATCATTGAAGAATGTAGGCAATGTATAGTCAGCAATTTGATTTTTTAGAACCTTTTTTAGCTTTGAAGAATAGAAACCTTTTACAACACACCTCTTTGCCATTCTGATTTTGGCCCTTCAATATTATACCTCTCAAGAGAAAGTTATGAGGAGAATTGGAAGTCTTTTCATTCCAACCTTATAAAATAGGCAGCTGAATCTGCAAGAGGGAACCTGTAAATGACTTAACACATGTAAAGTGCTCAGAGCAGTGCCTGGGGCATAATAAGCACTATATAGGAGTGAATTATTATTACTGTCACTTATTGTTATTATCCCTCTGGCTAATCCCTGGGAACCACTTCTTTGCCCAAGGGTGAGTGCCAGGTCCTCTCACTTACTCCTGTGCCATCTTGGTTCCAGGTGCTGGAGGCCATAGCTGTCCTGTACAACCAGGACCTGTCTCGGCTAGAGCTACTCCCAGGGGGGCTCCTGGAGAGTCATGGGGACCCTGGACCACTATTCAGCACCATCGTCCTCAACCAGTTTGTGCGATTGCGAGATGGTGACCGGTACTGGTTTGAGAACATCAAGAATGGGTGAGGCCTGCCTGGACCCTCACCCTTCCCACAGACTCCACCTAAGCCTAGGCCCTGATGGTCTTGGCCTTCCAGCGGTTCTCAACCTGTGGGTCGTGACCCCTTTGGGGGTTGAATGACCCTTTCACAGGGGTCGCCTAATATCAGATATTTACATTACAATTCATAACAGTAGCAAAAATTATAGTTATGAAGTAGCAACAAAAATAATTTTATGTTTAAGGGGTCACCATAACATGAGGAATTGTATTAAAGGGTCGTGACATTAGGAAGTTTGAGAACCACGGCCTTAGACAGACCCCAGGAGCTCGGCCCCTATTTTTCAGCCCACCTGACTACCTCTCCCCAACCCTTCTGGGTCTTTTTCTTTATCTAGTCCCTAGGCCTGGGGGCTTGCAGCTCTCTCCCACCATAATTGCTCCCAACCTTTCCCACTCCTAGGCTATTCTCTGAGCAGGAGATTGCAGAGATAAGAAACACTTCCCTATGGGATGTTCTAGTGGCTATTACCAACGTGAACCCCAGTGCCCTGCAGCCCAATGTCTTTTTCTGGCGTGAGGGTGAGTGACAAGGGGATGGCTGGAAGGATGCTGGGTCTGGGGTTTCATCCCTCCTCAGCCATGGGCTTGGCTCAGGGTGGCCAGACTGCAGCCTCCAAAGGGGGAGTGAGCTATGGCTCTGCCCTTGGGAACTTGGTTCTGGGTGCCAGGGCTGCCACCTACAGCTGTGTAGACTCCCCTCTACCCAAGTGAGGGCAAGACAGAGATTCAGAGAGACCTGGCAAAGAGGCCTGCATTTGGCTGGAATGGTGTTAGGCTAAAGATAACATTGGGAGGGTGGACTGCAGTGAGCTGTCCCAGCTGTATAGCAGTGACACAGGAGGTGCTGCCTATGTATGCACATGCGTGTGCCTGAGAGGGAGAGATGGAGCTTGAGGTTCATTTTTGACCCTGCTTGTTACCTAAGATAGCCCCTTCCTCCTGCTACCCAGAGCCCCCCTCTTTCTGCCACCCTAACTTCCTCAGTGATCCTATGTGGGAGCCTGCAGCCCAGCACCAAGGACTCCAGCTTCTTCTGCCTCCCCAGGAGACCCCTGCCCACAGCCAAGACAGCTCAGCACCGAGGGCCTGCCAACCTGTGCTCCCCCTGTCATCCGGGACTATTTTGAGGGCAGTGGATTTGGCTTTGGGGTGACCATTGGGATCCTCTGCTGCTTCCCCTTGGGTAAAAGTGATGGGCAGATTGGGGTTGGGGGATCGGTATAAGCTAGGGGTTGGGGTGTTTCCATTTATGACAACAAACAACACAAAGTACTATTTTCTCTCTGGGAAGATGAATGAGATATTAGAAGAAGAAGGGACAGGAGAAGGGCTGACCTGCAGAGAAGTCAGTTCCAGGGAGAATTGCCTCCCTGTTCTCCCAGGATTCCCCTTACCCTGGACTCACCTTAGCCAGGAGCCATGGAGAATCCACAATCCTTAGCTCTTTGCAGGAGCCAGGGCCTGAAGACCTGTCAGAAGCAAATCCCTGCTTGACAACCAGGGCTGGTGCCGATGTAGTCAGTGGGGCAAGAGTTTGCCTGGGACTTAGTCTTTCTCTGGCACAAGGACTCTGGGCTTAGTCGATGGCTGGGAAGGGATCTGAGTAGTAGAATTAAGGGAGACAGAGCAGGCCTCTTAGATGCTATCCAAAGTTCCTTGTGGGATGCAAAGCAGTCCACCAGGCACCTTCAGAATTTGAAACAATTTTAGCAGGCAAACTTAGGAGGTGAGGAAAGCAGAGGGTCTTTCCAAGGGTGGGTGGAGCTGAGAAAGGAGCTGATTCCATCCCCCCGATACACTTTACCCTGTGTTGTCCTCCTCCCTCTCCCTTCCCAGTGAGCCTGCTCAGTGCCTGGATTGTTGCCCAGCTCCGGATGAGAAATTTCAAGAGGCTCCAGGGCCAGGACCGTCAGAGCATCATGTCTGAGAAGCTGGTGGAGGGTGTGGAAGGTAGGCCTGGGACTGGCCACTGTGGTGGTGGGAAGGACATGTCACCTTCATCTCAGCAGCCTTTTCTAGGGCTGTAGGCAAGGCCAGGGCAGGTGGGCAGAGGCACAGCGACATTAGACAGAAGTTGGACCTGGAGTCCTCCAAACCCCATAGCTCCTCATGAGGAGAAGTCATGAGACCCTGCCCAGATTTCACAGAGCTGGTCTACATGGAGAATCCCTGAGAACTGCTGGTTTGTGGCATCTCACACTAGAATTCCAGGCAACAGTGAAGCGATTAATGAAAATCCAGAGTTCAACTGGGATTGGAATCTTGATTCCACCACTCTGGACTGAGGCAGATTTAGCATCTCTAAATCTATTCTCTCTTATCTGCACAATAAGAATAATAAAAGCACCTACCTCATATGTTTATTATTAAACAAAGTAATTCACACAAAGCACTGGGTATATGATGTTGAGTACACAATAAACATTTAGAAAATGATAATTACTCTTCTTCTCATGGTGTAGAGGCACAGTAAGACTGTCAGGGAGGGGATGACCCTCAGTACCCCAGAAATGGACAAAGAGCATGGGGGCCTTGACTTAAATTTCTGCTCTGAGCTGGCCCTCTTCTTCACAATGTGCCTGTGGCAGTACCCAGCTGACTTGGCCCATTTCTCGCTCCCCAGCCTTGGAATGGCAGGGCCGCAAGGAGCCCTGCCGGCCTGTGCTCGTCCAGCTGCAGCCTGGGCAGATCCGTCTGGTAGACGGCAGGCTCACTGTGCTCCGCACCATCCAGCTGCGGCCTCCACAGCAGGTCAACCTCATCCTCTCCAACAACCGTGGACGCCGCACCTTGCTACTCAAAATCCCCAAGGAGTATGACCTGGTATGGCCCAGCTGGCCCCTGGCTTGTTGTCTACAGCCACAGCCAGGGAGGCAGCCAAGAGGAGGGAAAGGAGTACTGGGCAAGGAAACAGGGTTTCTGGCTTCTAGTCCCCAGCTGATGGAGTGAGTACCTGATAGAGAGATAAACTTGGACGTGTTTGTCCTGCTCTCAGCCTGCTGGAAGCCGTGACCTCCAGTCTGCTTACTCTAGCAAACACTGTGTCCTCCTTTCCTGAGGACACCTGGCCTGTCCTCGCTAGGCACCTCCTGGCATCCTTGGAAAAAACTAGGCCCTCTTCTCTGGCTCCTTATTTCAAGATCTAGTAATTTTTATAGACTCCAGAAGGGAGCTAAATCAGAGGCTGATCTTGGGCTCTGATTCCACCCGGCTCACAATTCCCTCCATCTTTTGGCCTCCCTGCCTTACCCTCCTTTCTCCAGTATGGAACTGAGGGAAGAATGGCTTTGTACACGTGCCTTTGAATCCTAACTCTGCACCTATAAGCAAGCTACAACCCCATTGAGCCCGTTTCCTCTTCTGTAAAAGGAGATGTAATGTCTCTTACAAGTCCTCTCCAGGGGCCTCTCTGCCAGGATCCATGTAAAGCCCTAGTCTCAAGACTAAGGAAAAGGTTGCCCTTGCTCTGTTCTCCTGGCAGGTGCTGCTGTTTAACCTGGAAGGAGAGCGGCAGGCGCTGGTAGAGAACCTCCGGGGTGCCCTGAAGGAGAGTGGGCTGAGCTTCCAAGAGTGGGAGCTACACGAGCAGGAGCTGATGAGGGCAGCTGTAACACGAGAGCATCGGAGCCACCTCCTAGAGACCTTTTTCAGGCACCTTTTCTCCCAGGTGTGTTCACGGAACCAGATCTGTCCTTGTGCTGTGGTGTCCTTACCTGTGTGAGTCCATGGGGTGACTCCAGAGGAAGGCAGAAGCCCAGCATTCTCAGCTAATAAACAACTTAATTGCAATGTGGGGCAGGTCACCAGAGTTTACTGTGAGGAGATGCCCCTACCCCATCTGCGTCCCACTCCAGATGTGTGACTCCAGTGAGGTGATGCCCAGGAATGGGCTCATCTATGTATGTCACTAACTTCTCTCCTCAGGGCTGCCCAAACTTTCTGTCCTCAATCATCTCAACCTCCTCACCAGGCTGCAGAGACTCAGGGCAAGACAGGCAGTGCAGGTGCTGTGAGAGCCATTGTTCACCCCTCCCTGGGAGAATGTGGCTGCCAGAGGCCTCCACAGGGAATTAATGTCCACATTGCAGACTTCTGAGAGCCATTGGCAGATGTAGGAAAGCAGGATAGGAAGAAAAATACAAAGACTTGACTATACATCTGGCATGAAAATAAAGGCGGCCTGGAAGTAAAGTTGAGTGGAGAAACATGGTAG